TCAAAAGCCCAATTAATGAGTTTTAAGAAAGCCTTATAAAATATCCAAGATAATCAAAAATAAAAGAAAGAATCTGTTGAGAATGTGATAATGATAAGCATTAAACTGATTGAATAACTCTAAAAAAATCTATTTTAATTAAAGTCTAATGTTGTTCAATTATTAGATTAATTAATTGGAAATGTAGATGAATGGATCAAACATGTATTAATGATTGGATAATAAAATGGTACTTATAGTTTTTATGATGAATTGGACAAACTAATTAACGACAAAAAGCTGGATTAATTTAATCCCCAAACATTAATTGATCAAATTAATTAAATTAACATATCATGGAATCAAAAAAGTGAAAAGAAATTAAACTCATTTAAATCATTTTAAGATAGCCAAAAATGTGAAGAAATATTAAAGAAGCTAAAAAATTTATCAGGAACAAAAGAGAATATTTAAGAATAAATGTTAAATTAAGTAAATATATTAAGTTATTATATAGAAATAAAAGGAAGTGATTTAAGTTGAGAATAAATAGAAGTAATTAGAATAATAATTGATGATGTATGAAAAAGTTCAATTTTAATTAATTAATGATTCATATTCATAGAGTTAATTGTGTTTAGCAATGGTGTTCAATAAAGATGGATCAATTATGATTACAGTTGATTTAAATAAAATACAAATTTGGAATTTTAAATAAGGAAGTTTTAAATTATCTAATTCTTATGATAAACATAATAATGCAATTACATGTTTGGTGTATAGCAAAAAGACAAATAACTTTATTTCTGGTAGTTATGATCATAAAATTATCTGTTGGAAACAAACTAATCAAAATGAGTGGAAATGCTCATAACCATTTGAATAACATAAATATAGTGTTAATTGTTTAATATTAAATAAATAGGAGGATCAACTTATTTCAGGAGGGGATGATAATAAAATAATAGTATGGTAAGTAGATTTTATGAAGAATCATCTGACTTATCTGTATTCTCTAGATAATCATAGTAATAGTGTTTACTCATTCAGTTTTAATTAATCTGAAACTTTATTGGCATCATGTGGTTTAAATGAATTTATAATATGGGAGTAAGGATTATAAGGAAAATGGGAATTGAAATATAAATAAGATGTTGAAAATGGATTTAAAATACATTTCATAAATGATTAATAATTTATTTGGGTAACTGAAAATAAGTAATTAAATGATATTTTAGTATTTGAATTATAGAATGGAGTCTTTAAATAGAATTCAAAGAAAACTATCACTTTAATTAACAATAATCAATGTGAGGATTATTTCTTTTTTCCAATTATACATAATAAAGATAGAAATGTGATATTGATAAGACACAAATATCATATCTATTTGAT